ATGATTGTAGTGTTTATAGAACTCAGGTAAGTTATTTTTATACATATATTGACAAAACTAAACTGTCTCGAAAAAATCTACCCCAACTGGTTCAACTCTACTTGAACAAGTTCTGAAATATCACTTGCCTGAACTGACTTGACCTCATAGCTCAGTTGGTGGAGCATTGGACTACAAACCAAAGGTTGCGGGTTCAATTCCCACCGCAGTCAGGCAACTTTTCAGATTCTTGAAAATTGCTGACTCAGGTAGTTTCAAAACTAAGATAATGTACAAACACAAGTACATGTACAATTCAGATGTTCAATAAATAAAACAAAATGATTTATTTTACAGAATCATGCAAGATCACAGCTGTAAAACATCTATCTACTGATATCTCTACCTCGAGTTCAACGACTTCCTCCCCAGCAAAGGTAAAATCTTTCAGATTAGGTGTCAAAATCAAAGCATAGTTTTTAGGCACAACATTTGTAGACAGCCGTTCAAAAGGCTTCTTTTCAGTTTTGTCAGCCATAGTTAGTACTGATATAAACCTGGTTGTAGTTTGCTGAAAATAACGAGTTTTAAGACGAAGTGATAGTGAGACCGTTCCAACGATTGTTGATCTTCTGAGAAGCATGTGAGCTGTGATATGTGGTGATATCAAGGATGGCTAAGGATGGTAAAGAAGGTCTAAGGATGGCAAAGGAGATCGAAGGATGGCAAAGGAGGTCGAAGGATGGCAAAGGAAATCTAAGGAAGCCTAAGGATATCTAAGGAAGCCTAAGGATATCTAAGGAAGCCTAAGGATATCTAAGGAAGCCTAAGGATATCTAAGGAAGCCAAGGATATCTAAGGAAGCCTAAGGATATCTAAGGAAGCCTAAGGATATCTAAGGAAGCCTAAGGAAATCTAAGGAAGCCTAAGAATATCTAAGGAAGCCAAGGATATCTAAGGAAGCCTAAGGATATCTAAGGAAGCCTAAGGATATCTAAGGAAGCCTAAGGATATTTAAGGAAGCCTAAGGATATCTAGGAAATCTTAGGAGGTCTAAGGATGGCTAGGGATGTCTAAGGATATACATCAAGGCAACACGTGTTCCGACGTTTTCCGAAGGTGGTCCGAAAACATGTTATGATTCTTGTCATTTTCAATTTATTAGAGAAAGTTTATGAAATGGTTTTTATTATTCCTTTAGAATTGATTTCCTCAGCTGGGATTGATACAAGATGACTGGATGGCAGAAAATCTGTGATTTTGATTACTTTTTTGCACGCTAGCAGTATGAAAATGTAAAAATCATTGAGAACATGTGAATAGACACGTTGGAAGGACGTTGCAAATATTCCTGATTTTGCCCAAAAGTTGTGCATATATACTGCATATACAAATCTAACAGGCACACGATGGAAGATTGTTGCAACTGTTTCTCTTTAAAGAAGGTGAGTTTCGTAAATAAAAACATTGTCTGTCCATTTCACCATTTGAAAGGTTTCACTAACCAGGCTAAACTAACCAGTCGGGCCAACCAAATGAACCAATTGGCTGGGCTGTTTGAAACTGTCAATCAGATGCTTCAATCAGATGCTGTTGACAAACATGAAATATCTGCAAGTGTTACTAATATCTTGACAATGGACACAGTATTTATATATGATACATATTGCTTGTTTGTTGTGGGAATGCATGCACTTGATCTGCACATGCTCAGAGGAGATCCAGATACACTTTATATCATAACTTCAATAAAATGACTGTTTGCAAAATTACTGGAGCATAACATAATATGTGTATAGCTGCCATAGACTCATTCATTCTGACTTAAGCATTTCTGTCTCTTTTCAAAAGGCTGAAGTTGACACTATACATACTTTTAATGCTGTGCTTCAGTAATTCTGCAAGTTGAATATGAATGCTAATATTTTAATATTTCATTTCAGCAACTTGAAGATTTAAAGCAAAAACACCTCCTGGATTTTAGAACAATTAAACAGAAGATCATTTCTACAGAGTACGACAACCACTAAACATATTATTTGCACGATGTACCATTAATATTTGTTCTTATATTTTCTATTAATATTTCATTTCCATTGCAGTTCACTAATCAGGTCATATCAAGAGAAATGCCAAGATATCCTTTTTAATCAATATTGATAGTGCAATTTGATAGCAGACTTTTTACATTGGGTCACTCCAGAACACATCCATACACGGAGAAAATTGGATGTTAACCCTTCTACCTCTTAAGATGTCCTAATACACTTACTATTACTACTACAATTTTTTCTCCCCTCCCCCCACCCACCCACCCTCCCGGATTGCAGAAATTTCCTCCATGGTAGGAATGTAGATCTTTCCAGTTGTGATGTGTGTTCTCACCAGGGGCGAAACTAGCCCCTTTTAATTAGGGGGGGATGTCTGCTAGAATTGCCTTGCAAAAGCCGATGATGCCCTGCAGCAAAAATTTTTTTGGTTACTATTTCTCCCAAAAATGTTGGCGAGGGGGATGTCGAAAAAAATTTTTCCGGACCTTCAAAAAAGTGGCGAAAACATTTTCCCGGACATAAACCAATTAAATTAAGGGTAAAAAAAGTTTTTCGGACAAATTCCTGTTAAAACATGCATGAAACCCTTATTTTTTGACCAATATCTGTAAAATTTAGGTCTATAAATTCTATTCAATTCCCTCTGGAAGCCCTGGAATCTACTTAATAACTCAACATTCTATCATTTAAAATCTTTCATTGCCCTGCCAATCCAGATGATTTGCCCTGCCAATCCCCCCTCAAGTTTTGCCCCTGGTTCTCACCCTTAATTTGTCACTTCCACTGCAACACAATCTTGTGGATGACATCCTTAACATAGCATACAATTTGATAAACAAAAGAAGTATGCTGCGGAATTAATATCAAAACTGGATGGAGCGCAAAGGTAACAGTTTTGGAAGATCACTAATTCAGGAAAATTTTGGTCTTAACAGATTGATACTAAGGTTTTTGGGGGTGTGCACCCCAAAATTCTGAATTTTAGGAGTGCTGACGTTATCAAGCTGCAGCTGAAGAAATCTTTGGAACTTGTAGAACCACTTCAGAAAGTAAGTTATACACTTACTTCTACAGAGTCTAGATGTTTTGATGAGTAATTAAATTCTACCAAAATGTATGTTCTAGAAATGTAATGAGTTGGAACGGGAGAAAGTTCTTCAATGTGGTGAGATTCAAGCTCTACAAGACAGATTGAGAGGATCAGAGGTAAGTTCTGTACACTAACTAGAGGTGCTCTTGAATTGGGAACTGCATACTCACAGTATGCATAGGTTGGCTTGATGGACAACATGTTTTCTAGTCATAATTTGTTTTGTTTTTAGAATTTAGTTGGTCAACTGCAAAGTGTTATCAAAGAAAATGAAGTATCAGCAAATTCACTGAGAATAAATGCATCATTCCACACTGGGGAATTGGAAGATTATAAAAAAAGGTAACCAATTATTATTGCCAAGAAATATATAACATAATACTCAGAGTTTTGAAAATAGCCTTTCTTAAAATACTAACAGTATTATGTTTGGTTAGCCAAAAGAAGAAAGAAGCTCAAATAAGCAAACTGAGTGAACAAGTATTGACAGAGAAAAGTAAGACAATTTTTTGTGGTTACCAAGTACGTTATACAGTATATCGTTTATGCTTTGATAATTGTTTTCCCAGCCAATTTTGAACCTTAGATCTAATGTTATTTGACTATCACTGCATAACAAGCTTGGTATGATGTGATTTTTTAGAGGCAAACAAAGCACTGAACAAGAAGCTAACTAAATCACAAAATCAAGTCAAGACCTTGCTTGATGAAACTGAGGAATCAAAGGTGTAGTGTTTATGTCAACTCAATTGGGAATGAATGGAACTATATAAGGCTAATTTATTAATAAACTAGCTTTTCCATATCCTCTTTCTTGTAGAAGTTGATTGCCACACTTCAACAGGAACAGAATACAGGTATAAAAGTTGCACATTTGCCGGCTAAAACTGTTGTATCCAACCTGTTTACAACTTGAATTGCACACAACTCACCTACGTACTGTACAACAATGTAGGGGAGTTGTGTGCTTGATTTATACGGTACAATTCAAGTTGTAAACAGGTTGACTATACGACAGTTTAAGGCAAAAGTTGTAGTACATTAATTAATATGATTCTTTGTCCGTATGCATAGGAATGTTAAAACGTGTCTTAGTTGGTTCTAAAATTTACTTTCACCATTCCTGTAATTTCTTCTAAGGACAAAATGATGATTGTGAGCAACAGAGAAATACTTCGTTAGAAAAACAGATCATGACATTGAAGACTGAAGCACAAAATTACAAGGTGGGTTTTTACCAGCATAAATAATGTTGACTTTGGAAAAATATATATATATATATATATATATATATATAGACATTTGAACTCTTTCCTCTGTAGGGAATAATTAGAGAATTAAAAGAAGAAGTATGCAAAGGTATTTAATTTAAAACCTGAATTTAAAACCTGAATTTAAACCTTAAACTAACGTAATCATAATTTTTTCCAGCCAAGCAACAAAATACAGATGGGAAGGTACCGATTTTGAAAACATTTTTGTTAATAGTTAATATGTTGTTATGATCTCCCCGTCGTTCTAACATTAACATGATCAACTTTTCTTTCAGTTTCCTGCGGAGAACAAAATTAAATCGCCAACTACGCCAAGGAGGTCACCAAGAAAACGGTTAGGAGTTTTTATCATTTCTTTTAACTTGGCTGAGTTTGACTTTGATGTCATCATCTATACATGTACTTTATCTTTTTGAATGTAGGAAGAGTGTAACTCCCAAACAAGAAAAAGAAACCTCCGCAATACTCGAACAAAAAAGACCGCTTACTCGTCTACAACAAAAGAATTTGATTGAAGAGATTGAAAAGAAATCTTCACAATTAAAATCATCAGAAAGTAGTTCCCCCAGTCGACAAGAAAGTCTGACATCAGAATCAGAAAACGATGCAGATGAAATGGGGACATTACTTGATAAAATTAATGAGATGCTTGATATGCCTTGTTGTCCTTCTCTATCCCCTCTCCCACCATCACCGTTTCTGGATGGTAGCAGTGTTGGTGCTTTTGGAAATAATGATCCTGATTATACCTGTGATGATGGCGGCAATGATGATAATGCTATCGATGATGGTAATCAAAATTATATTGGTAATACAGATTACCCTGTTAATATTCATGACAAAAGTAATGGTAATGATAATATCAATAAAGATAACTTAGATGATGTTGATAATTTGAATAAAGATGATCACTATAATATTCTGCAAAATGAAAATTTGGAGGAGTCTCGAGGTAAAAAGAGGGAGCTAGGAGAGTCGACTACTCCAGAGTGTTGTGACACATTCATGACTTTAAGGTCTAGAAAGAGGCTAAAGAATGCAAACTCAGACTCAGATTCTGGGCCGTTTTCAAAAGATGAAAATGAGGTGAGACCTCATACCTTAAAGAGAACGAAGAGTGTAGAGCAAGAATTAAACACACCTGTAGTGAATTGTTCTGTAACGAGGAGTAAAAGTGTTGAAAAGACAACTGAGGGTGTTCTGGAGGTGAAACCACGAAGACGAAGAAGAAAGCGAAGACTTTCGAGCAATGATGAAGCTGAGGAACAATCTTTTGAAAGTTCAGATACGTCAACTGTAGAAACCAATGTCAAGACAAGCAAGCAGTCCTCAGATAGTTCCACTGCAGAAAATGTTGAAAATCCAAGCAAACAGTCCTCAGATCTTTCCATCTGCAGAAAATAATGTTGTTGACACAAGCAAACATTCTGAAGGTAGTTCGGAAGGAGAAAGTAAGGAGCAGTCGGATGATACACTTCAGAAAATTCCGAGAAGACCTCGGACTAGATCTATGGATAAGTTAGTTAAGCAAGACGTGGTCGATGAAGAGGTTTCCAGTAAAGATGAAACATCTAGTGGAGCTAAGTTTCCTACAATGAAAAATCAAACGAACAGCGAAACGTTATTTCAGGATAGCGACTCAATAATGGAATCACCGAAAGCGCTGCAAACTAGTTCATTGGACGAGTTAGTGGATCCTGATGTGATCTTTGAAGAAGCAGTTAGTGAAAAACCTACTGAGGCTAAAGTTCCCGCAACTGAAGACCAAAGTAACAATGAAACATTAACATCAACAGAGACCCTGATCAGGCCTCAAACCAGGTCTACGCATGCGTTATATGGGCAAGTTGTGGCTACTGAAGGAACAAATGGTAAAGAAGAAGAGAATTCTAACGATTTTCCTCCAACAAAGAATGGAACTAACATGGAAACTGTAGCTCACGAAGCATTAGACAATAAATGCAGCGAGAAGAGAGTTCCAGTTTTTGAAAAAAATTTGAGTGCTGCAGAGACGAACCACAGAGAGACTGATGAAGTATTGAAATGTTTGCGAGATATCATTGATATTGTCGCCAATGAAAGCAGTAGGAAAATATCAATGATTGATGCTAGTAAAGAACTTAATGACACAGAGAGCTGCACTGATAGTCAAGATGGGCAAAAGGAGGTAATGGATTGTTTAGATGTCGTTAATGATTCAGTTGTAAAGTTGGATAATAATTCATCTGCCCCGCTAGCAGAAATTGACTGTGTTAAACCTCGTAGAAGGCATAACGTCGTCAAGGACGAGAATAAAAAGAGTTCTACATCGAAATGCGAAACGAATGACACGAATGATAACCACGTCAAATCCGGAGAATGTGACGTGAGGAATATTAATATAGGGAGTGAAAATGTCGCTAATACGGAAAACTCGGATCCGAAAGCAACGGATAAAACAAAGCTGGACGATCTTAATTCTTCTGAAAGTGTAGAACCAATGGATAGAACATCGATAGGAAAGACAAGAAAACGGCCAATGGCTGTTCATGAGAATGTGAAAGAGTCGTGTAACAATATTGATGATCATAATAAGAAAAATAAAACAGCAAAAACAGAAGCATTAGATTCCGTTGATCATATGAATAAATATGGTACTACAGTTAGTGCTGAAATAAAGCAGAGCATAAAAAATTTAAAATCTTCTGGCAATGAAAATGTGGCTCATACGCGAAAGCATAAAACAGGCACTATTTCTGATTGTGTTTCCACCAGTAATGAGAGGGAGGTTACCAGAACTGATGAAAATGATCTTAGCAGGTCGTCTTTTGATGGAAGTGAATTTCTAAAGCTTACAAGTCATGATTTGGTCACCAAGAATACTCATGAAACACAATATGAAACGAGTAATGAAGCTGTCTCTGCTTCTGAAAGTAAAGTAAACATTGCAAGTGAAAAATCAACCACAAATTTTAGTAGTGAATATCCAACTATCTGTCATGGAATAACATCAACTACGAGCCCGCCTCGAGATTCATTTGATTCTCTGGAACAAACTACTCCATTGTCACCGATTCCTGATACACCAAAAAGGCGTGGTCGCTCAGAAGAGATTCCTTGTTTCGATTTATTAGATCATCTTCCTCTCTCCCCCATCCCCCCCTCGCCTCCTCCCCGTGCAGATGAAGAATGTATCTCTACCAATTTAACATTTGATGAAAATATTGTTCAAAATCCTAAAGAAGCCCATGTGGTGGAAAAGCAACAAAAATTGAATAGAAATGAATTGCCCCATGATTCTTTACGTCGCTATCCGGGTGTCAACGAACCACAGTTTGCCGTTTCTATTCTGACTAGATTTAAGGACAAGGAAATCACATTGGAAGATTTAATTACCGCGTTTTCAGTGCAGAAAAATGTTAAAAACCATACCCCTATTTGTAACGGCATAGTAACAGTCTTAAAATTGACACACGATGACGAGGAGCATGCGCTGCTGGAGAAATGCGCTGAGCACTACGAACGTTGGTGTGAAGGCACAGGGGACCCAATTGTTCCTGAGTTTGAACTGCAAGTGCTGATTGCTGTGAAGAGGTTGTGCAATATTCAACGACATTCAAGCTTGTTGAAAAAGTTGGTGAAATGGTTAGGAATGAATTTATGTGAATTGTTTAACAGTGGAAAAAATGATGCTGGTCTCTTGGCAATGTGGTGAGTTTGACTCAATCTAATTAATACGTTCAGCACGTTCAATATCAACTTAATTGTGGAGAATTTTTGACAGTCACTGAACCTAAACACCCAAAGACTGTTGATCTTCAGCGCGTTCAATATGAACTTAATTGTGGAGAATTTTTGACAGTCATTGAACTTAAACAGAAACAATATATACTTCTTATATCTTTTATCTGTTTACATCGAGTCGCTGTGCAGAGATTCTCCACAAGGGTTACAATGTAAAGTTTGTCCATTATTTTTTTAGTCGTTTGTACACTGGAGTGAGTCGTTTAATGGGAGAGGGCAGTTATATTCGTGTGCTATGCTATGATATCCTTAAACAAAACAAGCGACATTTAGTCGCAGAAAGAATGATACTGGCAATGGCTCTTGTCTGGCCTGAAGTGCTTGGTAAAGGCATCCATGCCCTGACTATTCACCCTGAAGCAGTTACTATATCTGGTCCACCTTATTCCCCATTCTTGGCTACACTACAGGTCATGCTTATGTCACGTGAAATGTCATGTGAACAGACGAGACAATGGTTGCAACGGTTATGTGGTTGGTGTGATATACCTAGGGATAATAATGTATTCGAATGGTTGGCTAGGGACTTGGTGCGTGTACTTCGGGTTACTAATGATGCAACATCTGATGAAAGTCCAGGTATGGTTATTCCCAAGATCACCATAGCCGGAATACGATTTTGTCGGCCGATCCGTAGGACTGGTTTACTCTATCAAAGTTTCTGTGATCACAGTAGGAATTATTGGGGAAATTCTAAGTTTTGAAGGATTTGTGAGAAATATTTGTGGGAACTATCTCATTGTTAAACACTAAGTCAGTTGCCTCAAAGATTTCTTACAAATCCTTCAAAACTTAGAATTTACCAATGCAAAGTTCCTACTGTGATCACAGAAACTTTGATAGTGTATAATCCTCATTAATCCTGAATTTCTTTTCTTTTCACTAGCCTGTAGTTCAACCATCAAGAATGTCGCGTTTGAAAGCATCAAGTCTTTAGAGCTTCTTGCTATTATTATGGGCTGGAAATGGACGAATGATATTTTAATTCGAGGAATACTGTGGCCTGTTTTCAAAGAATGGAAGATACAAATATTCGATGCAAAACAAGAAACAATTTTAGATAGTGAAAGTCAAAAAGCGGAGCGCGTGTTAAACACGAAAGAAATTCCAAATTCGTCAGAGGCTGGAACGATAAATACTGATGGACTAGAATGTCCAGCTCTAAACGCCATGTTTGTTGATTGTCAATCAAACATAACTGATCAGGTTGAGTTAGAATGTGTAAATAACGAGCAATTGGTAGAAACGTCAAACGAGACAGTGTGTCCTGTCAATATGAAGACAGAATCCAACATTGACACTCAAATGAAAAGTGACTTCAAACATGATGAGAATATGGATACGACCATTGCGAATATTCTGCATTTCTTGGGTAAGTTAAATTGAAGTTCCTTACATTGTTTTGCGTTCATTCTCGTGTGGATTACACACTTTCTACGATTCTACTGTAGCTCATTCACAGACCAAATTTCACACCGGCAGTCGTGTGTGTTTTGTAGGAGTTTTGGGATGTGAAAGATTACAAAAGGGAGAGATGATTAACCTGGATGCTGTCATAAATTTGATGTGCGCCATAGTCGCTAGTCCTGCTTGTGAAAAAGGTACATGATCAAGTTACAACATGTTACATGTATAAAATCCACAAACTCAAAATCTCCATCTACATCTTTATTTAAAATATCTTTATATTTTCCCAGTGTCATTCAATGTTCAGCTTGCAGCTGCGTCCGCCTTGCTCGACATGGTCACAGCTGATACCGTGAAAATCACTCCAGTTCTGGAACACTGGAGTAACAGAGGTAGTAAAGGTACATTAACAGCTAAATTTGCGCGTCGAATGAAAGAAGTAAGGGCACACACGTGGAGCAACATACTGTAGTAGAAAAGTAAGAATTGTTCACTCTGGGTGAAAAGAAAATACATTGAAATTCCTGGTGGAGGAATCTCTGCAGCGAGCTGCTCCATTTACTGTTCCATGTACTCAGGATTTTCGGAATCGAATCGAACTGAAGACGGTCACATGACGGTTCTATTGCCCCTACTCAAACGTATGCAGCCAGAACAGTCATGTGACCATTTTCGGTTCGATTCTATCCGAAAATCCGGAGTACTCCGAAAAGTATTAAGTCGAACAGTCTGCTGAAGTAAAATGTATATCTGAAAGAATTTTGCTGGCATAATTGGCACATATAAGGCCTGCAAAATTCCCATTATAAAATCGATGAAGAGACTGGGCTGTGTTACTGTAAAAAAACCCAATAAAAATACATGTGGAAAGTTAGACTAACATCATTTTACTTCTAATATCTTTAATCTCTAATTCTATGATACAACCGATTCCCATGCATGTTTACATTTTACAACACACATTTTGACCGAACTCATTTGTTGATTATTTATACCTGGGCGCTTTTTTTCCCATTTCAACCATATCCGCACCAGCGTGCCGCTTTGTGTCGAAGCAATTACTTTTTCGTCAGTGCTCAGTAAACGAATAAATATACCACGTTTACGATTTGGTTGAAGTAGAAAGCATGCTTTAATCAAACTCTTCATAAATTATTGCACATTAAATTGTGGAAACATGAGCTCGATCCATTCGTCTTTAACTATTTTTCCATCATTATCTCCGTCAAAATGTTTGATATCTTTTTGTGCTTTTTCTAAAGTCATTACTGTTCCAATATCTTCACAAAACGACAGCAATTCCTCAGCTCCTATCTTTCCGTCTTGATCTGTATCCAGTTCAGTGAAGATTTCAGAAAGTGTCTGTTCCTTACGTCGCATCGCTTCGAAATCAGCTAGATTTGGCGTGTATGTGAAGCTTGCATTCTGGTTCAGATCTACTGGAAACGAAATGAAAAAGTGAACGGTAAAATAAGGATGGATAAAGCCATGTTTCCAAACCAGGAAACATTGTTTCCTAGCCATGTTTCCAAACCAGGAAACATTGTTTCCTAGCCATGTTTCCCGAAGGTGGGCAAACCAGGGAACATTGTTTCCTAGCCATGTTTCCCGAAGGTGGGCAAACCAGGGAACATTGTTTCCTAGCCATGTTTCCCGAAGGTGGGCAAACCAGGAAACATTGTTTAGCAGGAAACATTGTTTCCTAGATTTCCATGACGTCATTGTTTTAAATGTCTTCGCACGTGGGCAACCATGTGTTCTTGCCTTCGCTGAATTTCAAAATGGCGGAAGTTTCTACGATTTTACATAAATTTCTTTTGTGTTTTTTTTTCCCATTATTTACGCATAAATATTTGTTGTGTGCAAATATTTTATGCAACAGTATGTGGGTATTTTATTTATCGAGTTTTTGCCGTGAACACAGGTTATTATTGGTGAAATTTAGGTATGTATTTCAAAACTTTTTTATTCAAAACACATGCCTGTTTAGCTTGTCACTTGAATTTAGACATGTTTTCTATTGTGAAAACACACTGTCACGTGTGTGTTTACCATTCTTACTAGATATTTAAGATGTAAAGATGCCCTATTACACATTTTTATGTTGCTTAAAGTCTTCGCAAAGTCATTTTCATGGCCAAAGAATGCCATATGGTTCCAATGGCAATGCAAATATGCGTGCATCGCATCTGGTAAGTCAAATCTATTTCACGTACATGAGAGTTTTAACTATGAATTGTGTGTAAAAATAGAAAAATGATGCAATATTCTGGGCCATAATATACAGGGTTGTTGTGGGGGAGGGTTATCACCCAGTGATGACCTTGGCAAATGTGATACTTGCACACCCTGCTTAAACCTCTTCACAAAGGCATTCACATAGCTAGTACAACTGGGGGGCATGTCTAGCCCCTCCTGATTACACCACCTGTGCTGGTATCTCAAAGGTAAACCAAAGGACAAATTTCACCAAAAAGATTGGATTGTTCCAGAAAAGATCCACCCTGCCCCCAAGGAGGAAATTTCTGCTGTCTGGAGGGAGGGGGAGGTGAGAAAAATTTGTTTCTGATAATAGTAAGTGTGGTAGGATATTTGAAGAGGGTAGGAGGGTTAACTTCAATTTCCTCCATGGAGGAGATATGGATGTTTTCTGGAATGACCCATTCCAAATATTTAGACAATGACGGTGCCTATTTGCCAGAGGAATATATGCATCTTCTTGGTAGGTGACATCATCCCTTGGGTATTTAAGAAGCCATGATTGCAATTTTAGATCACCCCTGATGAAGACACTAGACTGGAGTTTCGAAACGTTGGGTCTTGATTACAATTCGACTGGGCTTTGTAATCATTTATTTAAACCAGAGTAGCAAGCGAAACATGAATATATTTTCTGTTGTGTTTCAAGTGTTGTTTTAATGCTCCGTAAAATACAGTTAAATGCTTTGATCATGGTTTTACCTACACTCTACAGTACCATAATTAGATTCTGATAGGTCTAATCTATTCATTAAGTTATTAAGAGGAATGAAATTTTTACAAATTGATTGTTAAGTATGTAAACAAAGCTGAAAAAACATTCTGATTATGTGAGCTGATGTTAAGGTTTCATGAAATACTAATCTTACCTAAACACATGAGACTTGTGCAGTTAATTGACATTGAATCAAGTGCTTGAAGATTACATTTGTTTAACATTCTTTCCTTCAATAACCACTGCCTTTGAAAAGAGTCTTCCTATTCATTCTCAGTTCACTCATTTTGTCTTTGATGACATAATGTAGTTTTGACTGTGTTCACCATTCAAATATTGAAATGTGTGGCATGTATTTTTTCACCTCCTACAGCTCTCTGTGGGTAAATTGATTTGATCTCTTGTGTATGAATAAGACATTTAATTGGTAAATAGAATGCACACTTAATTACGTTTGACCTTTTTGACCTTCATGTGCGCTGTTTCAATAAGGTACACAATAAGTATAATTTTTAAAAACAAAGTGCATAAAAGCATACATTCTTCTGTATGTGAAGGAGATAACTTAGTTAATGAAATTGGGTAAAAAAAAATCACAAAACAAACAATACTAAAAATTATTGCGTTGCATTTTAAGTTTTTCGAGTCATTCTCAGAAATTTGTATGTTTCCTTGTTTTTCTATTCCCAAAACAATTGTTCTGGACGCAAAAGTTGAAAGAAAAACATTTTTCCCATGCCACTTTAGAACTTGCGTATTTGAGTTGTCTCCATATGTCAGTGTATTTGCTGTAATTGATCAATTCAATCAAAACAAATACAGTATATTCAATTTGGATGTGGCCATTTTGTCTATATCTAAACAGTTTATTAGGCTTTAGTCATGACTTTTTTCTCAGATTCGTAGAACTTGCAAATCAACGTATATTTTTCAGTAATCATGCGTCAACTTCTAAACCGTGAAATATACGGTATCGTCGTATCGACATTGATTTGTAGTCAATTGACTATATCCTGATGTTCTCTAGTAAACAATTTTGAATAAAAACCATTCATGTAGTGAAAGAATTACTAAGCAATGATCCATGAAATGAATAAACTGCTGTTTCATTTATTATGCTTGACAGTTTTACAAAATAGACAGCTTTGAACAATACGTTTTAAACAACAGACTCTGCATGACTGTGTACGACGCGCAAATTTGGTAATTATCTGAAGCGAGATCTGCGGTACAAATGTAATCTATAAAGCCCCTCTTATTAGCCAATTGTGGCGTAGACACGCGTGTTATTAAATATGCATGTATCTTGTAAAACCACATGACTTGTGTAGTTGTATATGTAAAATGTGGACAAGATTCTTGAGGCTAACGAATCACCAGTAAAATCCCATACTTAAGCACACAGAGTATTCTAGGAACAACCTAACTTGAAGATTATTCTTGCGTTCTATGAACAGCGCATGTGCACCTCTACAGACATTGCTTCTGAATAAAATTTTCAAGATGAGATTGCGTCTTCTACAAGGCTGGCTGCGTATGGCGTCAATCGTGCACGTAATCATTTCTGCGTGCGCGCGATGGAGGATAATTTGATTATCTTGGCGATTTTTCAGGAATCCAGTTATGTTTTTGCCAGACATCAGGAGACAGCTGTGACTCATTGCTCTCTTTAAGGCTACACTACGTTTACACTTGTACCGGATATCCGTATCTTTTAGGAACGCTATTTTCAGAGGAATTATTGCAAGGGAGAAATGTTGTTTCGCTCAGCTTCTGAAAGTTGTGCATTCCGTATCGGATAGATGCTTTTTCGCGCCGCTACGGAAAGTTATCCGATATAGTGTCAACGTAGTCTAAAGCCTGGTTCACACAATGAAATAAGCATAAGCACAAGCAGCGGAACCTTTGATGTGCATAAGCATAAATATAAGAAGAACAAATGTTGCGTTCTTCTTATGCTTACGTTTATGCACATCAAAGATTCCGCTGCTTGTGCTTATTTCATCGTGTGAACCAGGCTTAAATCTGTGGTTCTATACGAGAACAAGTGTTGTAGTTTTTCAACAGAAAATAATTTTCCTCTCGATTTTCTGTTCATTATTCTTAGCCGACATGATCTTTATAATATGCATACCTTCAATGAGATCAGATTCCAGTCTCTCGAGTCCTTCCTCTCGGATGTCCTCTGGAACAGCTTTATTTTCAAGAACCTTCTTCACCTCATTCTTATCTTTGACATTTGCCAGTAACCAGGTTAGAGCATTGTAATGCAGAGTTGATTTATCACAGTGGAGAAAACGTAACACGAACTCTGTGTCCTCGGGATGATGAAGCAACTTCCCTAGCGCCATGAAAGCATGGATAGCTATATCACCTTGAGGCTTCAACGTCGCTTCTTTAAGTTTTTCCTTAACATCTGATACATCGTTCTCCTTAGTTAAGTCAAGGCTACACAAACCGTTTGAGGCAGCCAGTATGTAGTACAATCTCTTGGTCTCTTGTAAGCCTCGTAGTAAGGACGGGAGGCGAAGATCTTTTGGAATAACACTGGGGAAATGTAGCAAATTAGACACCATCTGTGGTTCAGTCTCCCAATTATTGTCCAAGATATTTCGTATCATGACGTCATCATAGTCACTTGAGGATTTCAGGCATTTTACAAGACGTCTGGCGTAGTCTAAATCTTCCTCCGTTAGGAGTTGACCTGACAAAAATTATGAGTACAATGATCATGAGTTACTTAATGTTCATGACACAGGGTTTTGACATAGGCGTACAAGGCAGGGGGGGACTGCCCCCCCCCTGTCCCCCAAAAATCTGATTAGAAAACCATGGAAATTCAGGCAAATGGTAAGAAAAATGAAGAAAATTCGGACAAACGTATCACAAGGGTAAAACATTTCACAATATGTCAAAAAAATTCGCGCAAACTTTCAAGTGTGTGTAAATAAAGTAGATAGATAGAATGTTGGTTCCATCGTATTCATTAGATTTTCACACAATTCAGACGTCACTTTAGATCACAAGAGTATATTTTTTCAAGCATTTACTCTCGTGATATTGGGACTTGCAGACTTTGGACTTTTCCGAGTGTACAACTCAGACATCTGGAGTGATTTGCCCCTTGTCTATGTTGTATCTCGAAGTAGAGTTTTAGTGCCTTCTCTCCTTTGAGGGTTTACCTCTTTTACTAAAAACTAACATATTTTGGCCTTTAAAGCTGGAGGTGACTGGAAACTGAAATCATGCGTGTGTGTTTTTATATCAAATATTTGAATACAAGTGTTCATGTTATTTTAGTGCAAACTGTCAGTTGACCATTTTATATTGTAAGTGATTCATCCCTTCGACATATTTTGAAGGAAAACGACGATAGTTCAGCAAAGTAAATATCAGCTCTGGTTCGTGGATCTCTAGAACTCGTTGAGGTAATACTTCTCAGCAAGCTTAAAAGCTTAGCGATGCGCTTTCCGGATTTGTCACGCGGTTCAGTAGTGATAATTTTAGGACAAACAACGCCGACTATATATATGTCTATGAGAGAGGTATACTACCGTACGTGTTTCCTGTCCTTAACCCCCTCGGGGCTTGATTTCATGGAAAAAGCGTACGACTATTTTTGGAGTAGTACACCCTCGTGTCTACGTTAACCAGCGCGCGGCCTCAATTAATTTCCAGCTACGAGTAGGCTTCTCTACTTGCCTGCTTTACAAATGCCTTGCATGGCAACAAAACAGTGACATATACGAACCCTAATATCTGTTCTATTCAATTTCATTTTAGGAAAATTTTGATGCCAAAACGCGAAACCGAAAGAAAATGGTCACGTGAACAGCCCGAGGAAAGTATTTCAAGGTATTGACTTAGTGCAGTTCACCCGATTAGCACGTTTGTGGGAGATGAATTATTCACCTTGGCAGGCAGCCACAAACGCACTAATCCAATGGACTGCTATACGTTTTTGTTTTGAAAACCACAAAATGGTTGCAAATTGCATTCATGCAGAAAACACGAAATAGCGTTTGAATTATTAGTTGGGATATCTTGTTGTTTAAATGGTAGGAATGGCCCTATAGCTTGCATTTCAACATTCTACATTTATATAAGAAATGATATTAAATCTTGGGTTACTACTTGAAGCACTGGCCCTCACTCCTTTAAAGGAATAAAGGGATGATATGCGGTAAACCAATACTAATTTACGTTCTTCAAACACGCCAATATACAGTCTTTGTGCAAAGCCATATATTACATCACAGACATCAATAATTGCTGCTACTGTCTAGGAACAAAGAACTTATTTATATTGTCTAACAGGGAAACTCATCGCTGGTTTTAACTAAACCGTGTTCAAAATATTATGCTTTGCTCAACAGTTTTGGCAGTTTAAACCTCTTTCAAAGTTACAAATCAATATTTTTCAGTTCGATCACAAAAACTCGCATATCGTGTAATATACTAGAAATTATTCTTTTTAAAAGAAAATTTATCGACAATTTTGGGTAGTTAGCCATATAGTGTTTGTTTTAATATGTTTGTTGTTATATCGTGTATATGCAGGCTTTGCATACATGTTATTGGATCGAGACGCAACCGGCACTAACTTCTTTCTGCCAAATTTTATATTTTTACCAAGTATCATCTATATATCACATATGCCGAGCCGGCGTCTTTTAAAGACAGCTGAATAGAACGGGTTAAACGGATTATACAATCGTATAGTATAGTACAAAGCCTTTTGTACAGTAGAAAGCATTATATTAGAGTATATATACGATCGACAAAGCTATACCCTGTACAAATTATGAATTTTTTCCTGTTTTATGTTGTAATGATTATAGTATGACAGAAACGCAATGTATTTCCGCTTCTCTGCTACGAACATTAAAAATGCATATACTTGGACAGAGCAATACTATACGGACAATGCCAGTCTAGTGTATTTAAAATACAAAACGAATCATGCACGGGAAAAGGCACGAACAATCCCGCAATCTATTCTATTATTATATTATTATACACTGAATACTTTGTCGCAATAAGGAAATGTTTAAAATGCCGAGATAACGATATCTTGGCTCCCTAAGGATGGCTTTTTAATAGACGGGAAAGATTGAAATTCATCTATGTGGCTAGCATTTAGTTATCGAAGCTTACTGTTTATAATTCCTCCTTGAGGTCTAGCTTTTGTAGTTTAGTACATAGTTAACGTTTTATTCATTTTTTCTCGAAGTCAAAGGCCATTCGCTTGCACTTCAACTTCTGAGACAACTGCGTCTTTTATCCTAGGCATGCACACCAATGTGTGAATAAGTTGAGTGTTATTCAATATATTATACAAAAATGTACAATCACTGTGAATTTCTAGCGTACATATCGGAAGCATTTGTTTACCTAAGGAGCTCGCCATCTTGCGTGGATTGAATATCACTTTGTGGATTACTTCTGCGTGATAATCCAGCCAGCCATCGTCGCCAATGCTCCTACATTCTAGGGAATAGACGTCTCTATGTCGTGATTTTTACTGGGCGAGCGATCAAGTATAACGTAGCGTGACTTAGATGTCAAAAATCACCTCCCACCACACTTGATCGTATAGCACATCCAGCCAACAACGAAGTGTGCTTTCAGTAGATCTCTTGAGTATGCAAACATTAACTTATTGTGTTGCGAGCTCACATCGCTTTAGCCAATAGCAAGCCGTGCTGTGCTAATTTGCGACATTCTACACGGCTATTATTACACTTAATGTATTCCAAGTATGTTTAAGGCACCCTGCGTGTTTGTCTGCTTGTAGTCTAAAGGATGATATCACGATATTACAAGAGGAATATCATCATTTATCACGCAAACACTTGATCAAAGTACTCTTATGTAATCGCACATACAGTGTTTCCCTTGAAGATATATTCTAATATTTACGCACACTCCAGACTAATAATGACATAATGCGGTCATTTGCTTGTATTGGTTTAGTCGATCATTCTTAATAATTAACCGATTCCGGTCAAATTAAAATCCCCCTCACTCGAAATGCAGGCATGTTAAGGCTGCTTAACTGCCCCCAGAATAAGTGTTTCAAGTACATATCGCAAACAGGAGTGTCGATTTCCACTGTGAAGTTGTTTGTTTTAAAAGATTAAGATTAGTATGAAATGTAGTTGCAATCGTATTATACTGCTCGACACAGCAGGCAGTGACTGTGGCAATCCACATGTGTTGGCTGAGAAGGCAGCTTTCCTTTTGAATAGCATGGCAGATGTTTCGTTCTTTACATTGCATATTTATTTTATTAGGAATATTTTGTATGTTTCTTAAAAACTCTTCTTTCTTGGGGCTATTTTTCACGATGAAATATATAGGTGGATGCATGTTAAAAGTGTTTGTCCTAGAATAGTTGGGCGTCTGAATACTTATTCAGTTTGATAGTATGGGACATTGCAATGATGATTATTTATTTAAAGAATACTTATTTTCTGATTGGCTGGATTCCAACTGTTAGAAAAACAATAGCCTGTGAAAATTCGTTTATTTATTTCACAAAGTTTTTGGCTTGAGTTGGATTTTTCGTCAGGGCAAAATAAGATGCAAATACGGCACGCAAACGATATTCTGTTGGCCGCTGAATGCCCTGGGCACGAGGCTGTGACGTCATTCCTGATATAGCCGAGAAGGCCTGGGAATGAGGATGATGCCACCTGCACTCTCGTCCCCAGGCCTTTCGCTGTGCTACGTGGGTTTGGGATCCGATTAAAAATTAAATTAAATGCTGTATTATTTGTTTTTCATTTCTCCCCAAACACTGGAGAAATATACTGTAGTGATATAAAACTGCTTGCAGCTTTGGTGTCAATTAAGTTAAATTTTTTCATAGTGATTACTTGGTACTGACCGTACATCACTATGTAGGCCCGTCTATTGAACTATATAACATTTTTATCTTTCTGAACATATTTTTAAACTTGTTTTTAACGAACGTGTACGGTGCCCGCAACCTGTCGAACCTCAACCGCAATTTTTCTGTCATGCATATAGAGTTTCTATTGAAGTATCACTCAGACACTTGCAACACGGGATGAAGGAAAGGATTGCAGAACTATTGAAATGTCCTGAAGAGTAAGTATATGTTGTTACACTATAATGTTGCTATTCAACTGCTTAAAAGACTCGTTATGATATCATGTAGAGCCGTTTCAATTGAGTTTTGATTACATTCCAGAGTGCATATTCCAGTAAGCGTTTTTCACACTGGTACGTATCGCACGGAACATTTTAAATCTTTCTAAATTTTATAAAATTGCGTCAACAAATACTCCGTTTAAATCATACACAAATCTAAACGCTGTCCTTTATTATTTCAGAAGAAACGTCTAAATGGATTTAAATTTTACGTATGAAAACTGCTTAGCTGGACAGCAGCCTTAACTGCGCAACACGCGTCTTGAGTTAGGATAACTCTGAGTTCAATCCTAACATGTAGCTGAGCCTGGTTTACACGATCAAAGTTTCTGTCGGATCACAGTAGGGGATTCTGCAAAGTGAAAGTTCCGAAACTGTTTAACACTGAGTCAGTTTCCTCAAACATTTCTTACAGATCTTTTAAAACGCCGTAGAAGTTACCTATGCAAAATTCCTACTGTGATCACAGAAACTTTGATAACCAGGCTTTACTGTAAACTATTCGTATTCAAATGTTTAGTAATCTCACTCGCGTTTTACATAGAGTAAAAGTAGAACTGTGCGCTTTATTTAGAATTGTCAAAAGTATTCGGAAGAATAATTAGTGCTTTGGCAAGGTTGACTCGCTTCAAAATCGAAACGATTTCCTTGAAACTCTCGATGTTGCTTTCGACATAGCAACTAACTTTAACTGCAGTCATTTCTGCGTAAAACGCAAATGGATAGTTTAATATTGCACGTATTACTTATAATTCGGCTAGATTCATTCTAGATGCGTCGAATATATATATATTCTTTCTCGAACATGCTAGAACTGGCATAATGGCTATAATTTTATTAATTAAGTTTTCACTTATATAACATTTTAGTTACCTTAACAAAAAGCCTTATGGTTTCTAGAAGGTTCCTAGCCCTACTCATGTAAATTTTTTCGATTATTTCTATTGAATGTAAATAGATAAAAAAGTAAATTTAAAAATATTCTAGATTGTTGATGAAACCGCGTTTTGCAAGTTGTTTGTGTCAATGTTATAGCAACACTATATACAGTACAGGTGCTTCGGCGGATTTCAAACAACGGTAACGAACAACTCGCAGTATTGAGATACAATTAACTTAAAACAAACTTTACTCGTTTAAAAATGTGCATTTCCACATGCAACACTCATTCCTGGGCATTTTTGGCATATATTTATGCACAGGACTTCTGATCCAAGCCGTGGAATTGAAATAAAGTAAGATATTAAAATCAAAAGCAATTTCTGACACAGCATGACACATTGCATGTTATATATTTTGCTGATGCTCGATAAGTGGGGGGGGGGGGACATATTCATTTATTCGTATTCACAAACCGTGAAAACACTCAATTTCAAGAGAAATTAATAATGCAGAACACGAATATATGAATATGCCCCCCCCCCCCACTTATCGAGCTGGCTACGCCACTGGCTGGTGGTATACTCTGAGTTTCTCCACACGGCGCAAGCTGAAAAAATGTTGAATTTCTTCAGCAGCCGTTGCGCCGTTATAAAACCGGACAGACACTCCAGTTATAAAACCTGAGTTCAACACCACAGCCACCAGACAGAAATGTTATACTTGTTATGTTGGACACGACACTCATTTGGGGGTGAAATTTTCTGGGGACAGACCACGCAGCAGCGGGGCCAGCCGACAACTGATCTGATTATTGGTCAACTGTGATAGTTACCCCTGCTGCCTTCCCGCGTTGCGTACGGCCCCCGTGTTGCTAAGTTCACTCATGAATTTCCTTTGTCCTCATAATGAATTATTCCTCACATTTCTAGTTCTTGAGCGATATGAAGATGTCAGGCGCGGCGAGCTTGGGTTGTGCGATCAAGATTGTCGCAATTATCCTTGCAAGTAAGTATTGTTCACTTCCGCCATTTTGGGTGGCACATTAAAAATAGTTAGTTAAAAGCGAACATAGCGTGAAAACAAGACTGTAGCACTGACTACGACTGAGTTGTAATGCTCCGCAGCTGCATGTGTAGTAATCTTTAATAAAATTTCTTTTGACACGGTAGCCTATTCAGTATAATATTTACCGATCTGTTTTTCAAAGGGCCGTGGTATATAATATCAAAAACACATTAACTATAGTTGTTTACTAATTAATTACAGCAGTTTACTAATTAATTATTACACACTCCATTAATTTCGGAAATCATTATACATTATTGTGTAACGCGGATGTTATTGGTTACTTCATCCGATAATTCGTTCCACCCTTGTGCTGCTCTATAAGAAAAACTTCTTCTTTTGCCGCCCACTGCAAGACCTGAATATCTTGTCCACTTCAAAGCAAGTGGGAAAACATAACAAAAGAAATGAACTCAACCATTGGAAAGAGCATCCCCAGATTGGTATAGATATATAAATGGTTATAAATTTAAGTTATGTATGTTATAAATAATAAACTTGAGAGAATTTTAAAAATAACATGCACCATAAACTTTTGATTCTCTTGGCTAGAACGATCCAAAAACAAATTAGTGAATATAAAAGCGATCACGTGACAAAATATAAACCAATTTGATGGATTGAACATGTTAATACAAAAGGCAAAAACAAATTTGAACTGCCAAAGTAAAAAAAATGACAGGTGAAATTCTATCAGATATATAAATATATTTAATTTCATTTGCTTACCACAACTCATATATAATAATAATAACATTTAATATCCATCTTTGGTTAAAAAAAGTACAATGGATTTACAAGAAGTGCTAAGGTTAAAATTGAAAAGAAGAAATTTACTATTATTTACATCAATGTGCTAAAAATGTTTATAATAGTTATTCTATAAAATTAATTTAGGGCTGTTTTAAAAGAGATATGGCTCTAGGTATAAAGGATTGCCGGTGTCTTTTAGTATACGATACAACATATGGTAGATTATTTGTTGTTCTTAGATCGTGTTCATGGGTAAAAGGTTGGGGGATAAGTTTATATACTAGATCATTTAGTTGACTTAATACATTTATATTTGAAATGTAAATCCAAGTTTACTATAGTAAAATAGACAAGTTTAAAAACAATAAAATTGCATCAGTGATCATGAAAACATTGATTTTTACAATATGACTCATAGAGACATCGCCATTTTGGCAGTTCAATGAATAAAAATGGCAGGCTAAAATTTATTTCACCTGCCAAAACATTTTAGACTGGCAGGCCATATTTTTCTATATACTTGAAGCCTTGTAAAGTAAGAGTTGAAATGAATTACTATAGAGTTAAACGTAGAAAAAAACTCACTCAATCTCAATGCACTACCTTCGACCTACAAAAGGTAAAGGGCAGCGCGCTAGCTACAGTACGTGTCTGCGACCAATCCCTTAAGGGGCGCGCAGGGGAAACAGAAAGAAAAAAAATTCGTGCACCAAAAAAGTTTGAAAAAAAATTCGTGCAGAGACTTTCAATAGGGAAAATTATAAGTTGAAATAAAACAAAATTCGTGCAAGGGATTGTATTTAAAAAAAATTATCGACACAAGCAAAAACATTTTAAAAAATATTCGTGTTAAAAAAGTCCCCCCATCACTTTTCTAATGGTCCGCCCCTAATTATTTTTCCTTTCTGAGGTTTATGTCCGTTGGTTATGAGTTGGTCATGTGCTGAAAGGAATGCTTATTGTCATTGGCGACGGATATATGAATGTGTTAACGAAGATGAGAAAGGTTGCCCATGCTTTTACGAATTTTACGGACCAGGCTGTCACAAATGTATGTAATTTTATTAAAATTAATCAGAATTTGATTGTATATTTATCATATACCTTAAAAATATAGCATTTGTAAATTCTGTTCGCTGATTGGCTGAGAGCCGTGTTGATATAACTTTATATTTCTTTGTGTTATATTATAAAAATATATAAAACATTTTCCCGTATTGATATACAGTTATATAAACACTCGTGGAAATTGGGAAAACTCAAGTTTCAACTTGAAGGAAATCAGAAACCTGCTTGTAACCCAGGTTCAAAACTATGCTGTATTCAACAAATATAAAACATTTTCCGTGCTGATAATATACAGTTATATCACAGTTATACAGTTATATCACTGTGGTTATATCAACACGAGTGAAAATTGGGAAAACAACGAGAAATTGTGTGGAAACATTACACCCGGAGGGCGTCGTGTTTCCACACCATTTCGAGTTTTTCCAAATTCCCCTCGTGTTGACTAACTGTATATGAACACGGAAAATGTTTTATATTTGTTAAATACAACATATAGTTTTGAACGTGGGTTAGAAGCAGGTTTCTGATTTCCTTCAAGTTGAAATTTCCTTCTATGAAACTCTTCAACAATTAGTTCACGTCCAGAATCCTTTTAATTAAAAAAGAGTGTGTTTTTTTGCTTACAGGGCAAAAAGGTTCAATTCGATGCGCAAAAAGTTTGGGTATGGCGCATAATGTGCGGAACATCAGCGATGAACAACTCAATGCAACCTCTTGGCTCGATGAGAACTTTTCACCGCAACAAGGTCGATTATACAACCCAACGTCCGCGTGGTGTGCACACAACTTAGACACACAACCGATATTTACAGTCACATTAGAGAAGACCTACACGTTAATCGCAGCACACATTCAGGGCGATCCTGTAAACGGCAAAAATTTTCCTCGCACGCTATCTATCGACACACAAAAACCGGGGAGCGATTTTGTAAATGTGTATAATGGTGGTGTTAACATTGTAAGTTGAGTATGACTATTTGTTAAATACACCACGTTTATTTATTAAACGAAGCTTTTCATCCCGGAATAGACCAGGGGCGGATCTGGCGTCATCTGCAAGGCGGGGTGCAGTTAGCAACGCTATCCCAACATTACCATTATTTGAGATGGCCCTGCATGTTCGCCGTTCTATTACGTTTTACATCATCTTTATTTGTTTAGAATGTTTATATCGGCTTTAGGCTTTTCATCACGTATGCGTGACTGGACAGTTGCTGTAGCACAGTACAGTATATTTGCTTGTTGAAGTACAGTATATTTGAAAATATGGATGTATAACAACCTCGACTCATAGATATCTTATATAGACTAGATAGCGCATCTCTTTTAGTAAAATTGAAGCCAAGAATATTCCAGCGGTTACCCCCATTTGAATAGATGGCGGCCATGTTGGTAGTTCCCACTCGCTAATAAACGCTTAAAAAACAACAATAACTTTCATCATTTGAATAGTTTGAAAATGTATTTGGAATAGGTTGAACTTAATGTTTAAGTTCCCTGTTTAAGAGATAGAAAACATACGAGTCTTCTGATTTCATGGGAATATCCTGAGTCTGCAATCACGGCTTCAATTTTTGAATTGCAGAATAATTAGATGCACTATCTAGTGTATATAAGATATCTATGCCTCGACTGCATATGTTTACATATTTAACCATGATATTTAACTAAAGCATTCTGAGTATTCTCTCACGAGCTCACAAATCAATTAAACTCGTTTCAACAGATCGACACACGCGCTAACAGTAGAAGTTCCGCTAGTCGAAAAGCAGAAAATGTGTGGTCAAGCAGATTAGGGTGGTGCTGGACTTCTCTAGGGGGTACTAGACATCACTATGTGGGGTTCGCATCCCTGCACGCCCATGCACGTTAGATACACCCCTGACATAAATACTGCCTCTACTACCTTTCATATTAAACTGTTCAATAGTTTTTGAATAGAGCTGCTGGTCAAAGCCACAGAGGTGAACGTCAGTAGAGTGTCTTTTCCGGAAGTTGAAAAGACAGTCAGAAATCAGTAGAAACGTTCGTGTTTTATGACGTCACGGTGAAGGAATGCAGCGTGGAACTTGTTGTTGTTATTGTTGTTATTATTATTATTATTATTATTAAAACATCTTTATATACGGTAGCTAATCAACTATCTGAAAATATTTACAAAGTTTTCGTTGCTTTTCATTAGGCGGTGTAGTTACAAACAGTATAAGAAACTCCCATCGACCCTCCCCAGATAATAACAGTAAAATCTTCACACTCAAACCCCACCCAAATAAGATAAAAGATAATTCAAGAGTTTTTATTTCTTTCATTCCAAACTTTAGCAGCAGCATAACCGAAAGTACGTTTCATTGAATTTGTTTTTGGCCTCGACAACATCAGCTTATTATTATTGCTTCTTAATTCATATCTTACAGAGTCGGATAATTTAAACATATCCGAAATGTTCTTAGGACATTGGCATGTAAGAGCTTTTGATACATATTTTAGTTGTTATTTTACTTATTTGTAACTTTATTTAGTTTAACAAATTGGCAATTGTCCTTTTCCACAAAAGACCTTCAGAATTAAACTAATTTCCAGCCACTTTTATTAGGCTATCCTGATATAAACTTGTGGCGTGTTCACACCCCACTAACTTCACTTTCCACGCTGCATTATCCTTCACCGTGATGTCATAAAACTTGAACTGTCCTTTCAACTTCCGGAAGAGACACTCCACTGATTTCGGTAATACAAGCAGAGGTTATTGTGCATATCTTATCAAACTTAATTTTTTTTAAGAATGGAAAAAAGAATTTTAAATTTTGGATTATCTTGCGGCCATACAACGGAAAAGTCGTCCAGTTTAAAGTGTTGACTTATGAAGGAGATTATGCTTGCATGCGTGTTGAACTATATGGGTGTTATCGTGATGGTAAGTATAAAGACGAGAGTCTTTTGTATGTTACGTAACACGCGCTCAAAACTACTCCGGCCTTAAAATATCTTTTACAGATCGACGATGACTGTGTTTGGATCGGACAAATGTGTGATGATGTCTGATGACCTTCAGTTCAGTTTGGCCGGGAAATAATTTGAATGACACGAATTAATACCAGCACAATGTATTAATTCATACTTGTTTCCAAGCCAAAATTAACTTGCTAGCCAAGAACAACAGTAAGACTTCGTCACCTTAAGCAATAAGCCTGTTTTCCACTTATTTCGCTCGCCGCCCTCGATTACACGAAAACAACATTCCCAGTTCACTTTTTATACATTACTCTGATTTTCCATTCATGTTAACATACGAGCCTCTAGTCCTGGACTAGGGTATACACTATACATTTTGATTTACGTTGGACAAAGTTACAGTTAGATCGGGCACCAATACACTATGGTCGGACAAACAATAAACCTCAGTTGCACTTTCGTCCGACAGAATTTCCAGTGGTTTCCTCACTACGTCCGATAATTTCACATTTGGACAACGTCTGTGACCGACCGATATTTTAAGGCTTGCTAATGAATATATAGTTTTCCACTTGGTTACGAGTATATTTTTAAAATTTTTGACACGTTTTTCAAACTTGAGGAAAAGTATGTTTAGTGCTTACAATGAAGAGATATTAGATTGTACGCTAAAGAGATGTCTGAAGTTCAGTAAGTTTTGCTTATATTGCTGTATAAATGTGGCGTTAATTTTACAGCATCAATGATAATTGTATTTAAATTGACAATATTTAACTATTATTTTGTGTTTCTCAACCGCCAGATACATTTAAAAAGGTTGCTATAACTGTATAAACCACAAAATAAAGCTAAAACAAACTGATTTTGAGAGAAACGCCAAAAACATTTTGGTAGCGCTTACTTACGCTATCAATGGCACAACCTTGTGTCACTATACAGAAGTCCATCTCCATTGTTTTTTGCGTGTACTATTCGCCATGATTCGCCACTGAGCAAGTACCGTAAACAGAAGCAGCCCCCCCCCCTGGACGTGCGCCATTTTTAGTATTTCCAGGGGGCGACTGCTTCTGTTTACGGTACTTGCTGAGTGACGAATCATGACGAATAGCGCTTACGCAAAAAACAATGGATATGGATTTCTGTATAGTATTCTGTGCCTGTCTAACGAATTTTTTTATGCAGTTGAAAATCCTCGAAATGACGTTGACTGTTTTGAAACGTTGGGTGTAAAAGACTCCGCCATATTTCCTGACAATTCATTCTCTGCGAGTACAAAAGCGCCTGGAACGAAACCTTGGCATGCCAGATTGGACGGTGATGGTTCATGGTGCCCAGAAGACGATGACGGACAGCCAACTTTAAACATTGAATTGCCGGATGTGGATAAACATATTTTTGCTATTGCGACTCAAGGAGGCTCGAAGTCTGAGAGATATGCAAGATATTTAACTATATTTAAAGATGGTGTTCAGCACAAGTTAAATAACCATGGGGTATGTTAAAAATTGGCGATGATTATCCATTAAAATCGAGATTTTGGGGGTTCCCCGGGATTTGATTTTCCTGAATTATATTTGATGTTTTTTTTGCGATTTGTAATGCTCCATCATACATGAAATTTTTCTACCTATTTGTACACGGTTTTGGTAAAGAAAGACTGCTGGAAATATTGCAAAGTTGTTATAATTTGTCATCTCACTTTTATATGTGAAAATATTTGTAAGTAAGTAGTTTACGATTTTTGACCCTGCATGTGCATTGTCACTTGGCAACTTTTTATGTAAAATAGTCCAAAGTAGAGCGCAGTTGAAATTGTGACTCATTATTGCCTCTCCTATCGTTTGTTTAATCATATTATAAACTATATTATATGGCATTATAATCCCAAACACCTTATAGTAGCCTACAAATTTATCGTCTGTACAAAAACGTCAGTGTCATGCATATACTATGTATGTTTTAGTCTGTATGTAATGGACCTTTCCCCTTATAACTAAAATCTCGATCTAGAAAAAAATTTCATCACAGCTTGAAAGAGCATCACAAAATTAGTAATATTCCAAAGTTTTGTTGCAAAATCTTGTGAAATGCGGATAATATAGCCTTGCGAAGTTTGCCGTTTTTCAGTCATTTTAGATTACAAACGGGAAATTGACATCCGATTCGGGTGTTGGGGCTGCAATTTCCGTTTGTAATGCAAAATGACTGAAAATTGCAAACTTCGCAAGGCTCTATTTTCCTCATTTTACAACATTTCGCAACGAAACGTTGGAATATTACTAATTTTGTGATGCTCTTTCAAGCTGTGATGAAATATTTGTCTAGACTTGCCTAGATCAAAATTTTGGTTATAAGGGGAAAGGTCTATTCATTGTAATCTGAGAGGATTGTGTTGGGTGTTTTTGTAGACGTTTTACGTGAATTATGACGGCGTGTCAACAGTTTTGAATTTTATCGATCAGGGAATACCAATGAGAGATCAGGATGATGACCCAGCAACGCCCAACGAGTTACAATTAAAACCAATACCCGATAGCACCGGAAATTGCATGAGAGTAGAGTTGATCGGTTGTGGTAAGCTTTCTACTTGAATAAAGATCATTACCATCATCAACACTATCATCACCACCATCATCACAGCCATCACCATCATTACCAACAACACCCCCATCATTACCATCATTACCACCATCATTACCATTCATCACCACCATCATTACCATCATCACCACCATCATTACCATCATCACCACCATCATTACCATCATCACCACCATCATTACCATCATCACCACCATCATTACCATCACCACCACCATCATTACCATCATCACCACCATCATTACCATCATCACCACCATCATTACCATCATTACCACCATCATTACCATCATCACCACCATCATTACCATCATTACCACCATCACCATCACAACCACCACCATCTTTGCTATCAACATCATCACCACCATCATTACCATCATTACCACCATCATTACCATCATCACCACCATCACTACCATCATCACCACCATCATTACCATCATTACCACCATCACCATCACAACCACCACCATCTTTGCTATCAACATCATCACCACCATCATTACCATCATCACAACCATCATGACCATCAATAGATAGCTTAAGATCTACGACGTCGACGCCAGCTAGAACGTCAGGGCTAAGCAAAGGACTGGGACTAGGACGTCGTCCTAAATAAGTCGATAGCTCAAGTATCTACGACGTCAAATATTTAAGGCGGCAAGCAGAAGTGAATTGGTAATAGTTTTTGAAGTATGCATGTGTCTCTCCCAATTTGCTCGTCGTTCACCAAACGTCGACAACCTCATAACAAGAGTTTTACCGTCGTAAATACAAGAGCATAACAAACGGTAATGGGTTCACACGGCTCTTTTAAATTCATTTTCAAAAGTATGTAAATATTTATACTTTAAATGTCTACGTCGTGAAACTTAAGTGGAAGTTTATTTATTTAGGACGACGTTCTAGTCCCAGTCCTCTGCTTACCCCTGACGTCCTAGCTGGCGTCGACGTTGTAGATCTTAAGCTATCTAATATCATCATTACCATCACCACCATCATTATCATCACCATCATCACAACCATCATTACCATCATCAACACTATCATCACCAGCATCATCACAGCCGTCATTACCATTACCATCACTACCACCATCATTACCATCACCACCATCATTACCATCATTACTATCATTACCACCATCATTACCATCACCATCATCACAACCATCATTACCATCATCAACACTATCATCACCAGCATCATCACAGCCGTCATTACCATCACCATCATTACCACCATCATTACCATCACAACCATCATTACCATCATTACTATCATTACCACCATCAACACCGTGATATTGAGCCGCCGTGCATTGTGACCATGATCATCATCACAACTATCATTACCATCACTGCCACTATCATCATGATCATAATCACCATCCTCGACGTCACCATCATCGCTATAACCATGGAACGTCAAATTTGTATCATCTTTCTTTTTTTAGACTGGACAGAACCGTGTTATTCGTTTCCCTGCCAAAACGGGGGGACTTGTGTCAGGACAAAATTGCATCACTTCACGTGTACGTGTCGTAGCGGGTTTACAGGATATCACTGTGAAGCGGGTAAGTTTCGATTTTCTTCTGTAGTAGTACTGGATCAATAAAGGTTAGACCTCTAGAGAGAACAATTCAAAGTTAGTTTAGTTTATGTTTCCTCCTGTAGTAATACTGAATCAATAAGAGATGATCCTTACTGGACCTCTAGGGAGAACTGTTTAGAACTGATAGAGCTATCCAGTATAAATAAACTTAGTTTAGTTTAGGTTTCCTCCTGTAGTAACACTGGATCAATAAGAGATGACTCTTACTGGACCTCTAGGAAGAACAATTTAGAACTGATAAAGCTATCCAGTATAAATAAAGTTAGTTTAGTTTAGGTTTGCTCCTGTAGTAACACTGGATGAGTAAGAGATTATCCTTACTGGACCTCTACAGTCTAGGGAGAACTGTTTAGAATTGATGGAGCTATCCAGTATAAATAAAGTTAGTTTAGTATAGGTTTTCTCCTGTAGTAACACTGGATCAATAAGAGATTATCCTTACTGGACCTAGGGAGAACTGTTTAGAACTATCCAGTATAAATAAAGTTAGAGATATTCAGTATATAGCTTATTAGATATTTGGTGTATGTAATAAATCATATTATAATTAAAGTTATTTTAGTTTAGGTTTCCTCTTGTAGTAACACTGAATCAATAAGAGATTACGTTTACTGGACCTGTAGGAAGAACAGTTTAGAGAACTGATAGAGCTATCCAGTATAAATAAAGTTAGTTTAGTTTAGGTTTCCTCCTTTAGTAACACTGGATCAATAAGAGATGATTCTTACTGGACCTCTAGGAAGAACAGTTTAGAACTGATAAAGCTATCCAGTGTAAATAAAGTTAGTTTAGTTTGGGTCCCCCTTCGCTGTAGTAACACTGGACCAATAAAGGTCCTCGATAAATAACTTTAGCAATAGATGACTTTCTTATTTCTATCCCAAAATGACGTCACTTGGAACAAGGTTAGGGTTATGGGTGATGATTAAGTTTACGATTAGGGTTTGGATTGCAATGAATACGACATTGTCAATATGACCCTAAATTGTGTATTGCTTCAGGGAAATGTTTCGAGATAATTGAAGCCCATCAAGAAGTCAATGTTTCATCGCTTGCTTATGCTGATGAAATTAAATATCGCTTGAGTGATTCCGAATCATGGTGTACGGCACGAAGCGATACGAAAAATTTGATTCAACTCACTTTCCCCAGCATACACCATGTCAGAGGGTTCTCCCTTGGTGGCCACACAAATACAGCCACTTTATCGTTTGTGAAGAAATTCAGAGTTTATTCCAAACTATTTCCATGGGGAAATTGGACACCTGTTGTAATCCATAACATTGGAAATATGGTAAGTGTTCTAGTTTGAGAGATTACTTGTTGACAAATATTTCAACCTCACCTAACTGCTTACGACAGACACTGATCTGGTAATAAAACTGGATTGAATGTTATGTAAAAATTAAGCCAGAAACCATTGTGACGAACTGATTACCTTTCGAACGTATTATGGTAGAAATTTATTGTTCAGATGAGGTGCTTTACATGTCAAAATAATAACTTTACTGTCTATGACAAGAAGTAAAGTTTTTTTATATTCTTTTGTGTTTCGAGGATTTTTCTCCGTGTTTTCCGATTTTCCTTTGTCACAAAAAAATAATTTTAGGTCTTTTACAGTAGTTGTCGAGCATCATGAGCCTCGGTGTCACTTTTATCACTCTGGACAACACCGTATATCTTTTTCATTTTAGTTTAACGGTACGGTGAAAAGTGGTAACGACAGGGCAGACTATCTTTTGGACACTGCTATTAGGGCGATGTCTATTGTATTCAAAATGGTGGAGTACAACGACGAGGAGATGAAATGTGCGAGAGTGGAAGTCAGGGGGTGTCATGATTCTAGTAAGTGGTACATTTGTTTGTTTTAATTTTTGAAAGTTTATTTCCTCAATACTGGATGAATTACGGACGGCCCTTACTGGGCCTCTTGGAAGAACAGTTAATTAGAAATTATGTAGAACTTCTAGTGTAAATAAAATCCCTGTAGTGTAGTTTAGCTTTCCCCCTGTGGTAGCACTAGATAACATGCCCTTACTGGAGCTAGTGGCAGAGTAGTTAAGAAATAAGGCCAGTTTTCCACTAGGCGGAATATTGCGCGCGGAGCGGAATTTTTCTTTGTCTTTTAATTTCTCGGGTGGAACTAATTAGAAAAAGACAAAGAGAAATTCCGCTCCGCGCGCAAAATTCCGCCTAGTGGAAACGGCCTTAATAGAGCTATCCAGTGTTCATAAAGAGAGCTTCTTATCTTTTATTTAGAATTTTGTGACGATTACCAGCCCAACCCATGCATAAACGGAGCATGTCGTCTTGAAGAGGGAAAGCCGTTTGTTTGTGATTGCTCTCCTGGTTTTGCGGGATCGTTTTGCGAAAGAGGTTTGGATCCGACAGAAATTTAGTGCATCATTCTTATTAGAAATATCAATGCCCAGCATATTGTGCGTAAAAGACCATAACAAGATTGAATATAAAATATTTAAGATTTACTGCTTTCCTTGATGACTTTCATCCTGCCCCTCTTTTTGACGAACTTATGATACTCGAAAGCGTTCTCATTTCCAAATCTAAGCCTTCCCTGCATGAACAGACAAGACAAGTTCAGTCCCTACTCTAATCCCACTTCTACTTTGTGTAATCCCCCCCCCCCAAAAAAAAAACCCAAAAAAACCCAAAAAAAACAAAAACAAAACTGAACACTGTTTGATTTGCAGTAACGTAAAAGCTCTAAAAGCTATCGCAATGAATCATTGCATTCAGAAAGGACTTACTTAGATTTTGATATATAGCACTTGAATTTACATGCAATATCGACTGCGCTATTGATGTTTGAACGTTGAACCACTGTTTTTGAAAATGCAGAAAATTAGCGTAAAACAACCTTATAATTACTGATGTCAGTAGTCATACTTGTTACTTGTTTTTATTTTGGTTGTATCTCGCTCAATATTACATGTAAATTCAAGTGTTATATATCAAAATCTAATTTAGTCCTTTCTGAATGCAATGATCTTTATTTCATTGCGATAGCTTTTATAGCTTTTACGTTACATTAAATCAAACAATGTCCAGTTCACGAAATGTGAATTTCATTAAACACCGTCGGATTGCAATTAACTCGTTTAATATAGCTATGTTGTAGTTCTCTATGTGAGGATAGATGAAAGAAATTGAGAGATATTTTCTCTCTTATAAAAGTGAAATAAATGATGAATTTGACAATTAACTGTTGCTCTAGTCCTAAGGAACAATTCTCTCTCGTTAATAGCTCAGTGCAACAACTCAGATTTATAGCTTATGTTCAACTTTATCGAAACTTTATAGATCTCTGCAAGGAATCAAACTGCCATGATAATGCGACATGTGACATAGGGCTAAACGTTACGTGCCGTTGCAAACCTGGTTTCCAGGGTAGCGGACAGTTTTGCGAAGGTATGTATTTTTGAACTGTTATACCGTGACTTTTATTTATATAATACACAGTTTGGGCATTGAGCTTATTTTTATAAGCCATGTCCAGATGAGAGTTGTTTTTTTTTTGCCCGACAACAAAAATTCGAGAAGTATTATAATATTTGGTGAAATCTACCAGAGAGAAGAGATGGTGGTTTTATATGTCGACAGCTTTTCTTTGCGAATTTTGTTGTGTGTATATATAGCGAGGAGCATGGTTATCGCAGCCGATTTAAATTCGCAAAAACTGTTTCACGATTGACATGCCGTTTTTGTTTTATGGCGAATTACGTTATCTACTCGTATGCAGTTTTTGCCATTTGAATTTGAAGGATGTCTTTTCTTTTGGCCAATATAAAAAGAACGGATTATATCAAATCACTAAAATATTTTCCTTTAGATATATGCGAAGTATCGAATTGCCATCAAAATGCGAGATGTGGCGATAAGACGGGTTATGAATGTGTTTGTCATGAAGATTTTCAAGGAAATGGAACATTCTGTGAAGGTATGTACAAATGCACTCCTCGTTATAACACAGGACCTCCTTCGTTGACGAGTTAGAAGTCGTGTGGATTTAGTTGGAGTAAAATGAGACACTGGTACAGTATTTTGAAGCCCTGGTCAAACCAGAATGGATTAGAGATGAGCAGGGCCGTTGGACCGCTAGGGGGGGGGTGCATATTTATATATTCGTATTCTGCCCGACGGATTTCTTTTGAAAGCGATTGTTTTTACGGTATGTGAACATGAATAGACACCCCCCTCCCCCTTTTTCTAGTACCCTGGTCAAATAAGAACTGATCTTTATGGGATCAACGGATCTTTTTGTACTATTTAAAGCACGCGTAGGAGTGTTTTATTAGGTTTAAAGCGCGCAGCGCGAGTGGCTTTAGACGTAATAAAACACGACCTGCGAGTTTTTTAAATGGCTTCAAACACGACTACAAATTCAATAGATATACTGCCTTATTAGTATTCTTTATATAAAGAATACTAATGAGGGCACGACTACAATAGATACTGCCTTATTAGTATTCTTTATATAAAGAATACTAATTAGGAGTGTTTTATCAGGTTTAAAGCCACTGCACGTGACATATTATCGTTGACATGATTTGTCAATAAGCTTATGAATTTTTAATGAGTATTTGAAGTGCTATTTTAAATTGCTTCAAAAACGATCGATCTATTAAGTTCATTGGCGAAGTAATTTTCAAAAGATGCGTTGTGCAAGTCGAGAAAATCAAAGTTAAAGTTTATGTAAATCAAGGGAAATCCCTATCACATATAAAGATACGACACGCTTATGATTTTTCTTTGTGTTTTCCTCATGAATTATTAATGAGTTTTTGAAGGGCATTTAACAAATGTCCATAAAGATGAGCTGCTCATATTTTAACTAGTACTTAATACGTTTGCATAAACTTGTTGCTTTTCCATTCTAATTCTATACCTGTATTTCTCTCAATTATTCTAGATCGCTGTATTGCTGCGAAGTGTCATGAACACGCCATGTGCAACAAGACAACCGCCTACGCTTGTTTGTGCAAATATGGTTATGGCGGTAATGGATCAGAGTGTCATGGTGGGTGATATATAGACATTAATCAATTATCCATTATGATCCGTCACTGTTCCTGCAGCGACACTTGGTGCTCAATCTGTATTTATGTTGCAGCAAATACAAGACTACTACATAAAACGAAGAGATTGAACGTGTTTTCACTTTGATAACTGAGCATTATCATACAAATTATTTAAAACACAAGTCAAAAAGTAGTATACTTACACGAAAACCCCCAAAACGTTATCCACTTTTAACTCTTCAATTCCTACTGCATTATCAATATTATAGAAAGTTTCTGTATTGTTTATTATCAAATATCTTCATTGTTATTACAAAAGTGTAATATGAATATTTTTAAACTATAATTGATAAAACGTTTCTCATTTGTATATGTAATTTAACTGACCAAAAATCTATGTACATAACGTTATATGTTATGTTCTACTTGGGGCCAAGAACTATTAAGAGCCTACAATGTTTTCTTTATGGCTCCTAGCCCAAATGTTATATTCTTATTATTTTTGATCATTTTATATCATGAGAAAAGGGTAAATTATAGCCTTCTCCGCAGGCCTCTCTATGGGTTTTAGCCTGCGAATGGGTTTTGAAAAAAATTACTTTTTTCGACCACCCGATTCCTGGGTGAGATACCTGCGGAGGAGTCCAGGTAAATGAAAAAAGATCTAAAATTATAGCCATAACTGACTTGCTTCACTGATTTGTTTCCCAGATTTATGCAAAACAGCTGACTGTCATGAGAATGCGACGTGTAATCTTAAAGATGACATAAAGTTTGCAAACTGTTCTTGTGATCGCAGCTTTATTGGAAATGGGACATACTGTATTGGTAGGTAGTTCCTGTCGATTTTGCTCCAAATGATGTTTGAATAAATTGTATTTGGAATGTCCCAACCCCAAGTATTGATATATGATAACACACAGAAAATTGTTAACAGTTACTTAAAGAACAAATAAATTCTAGTTTTACTTTGTAAAACCGGTAGAAAAATTATTTTTGACCAGAGACACAGAGTAGATACATATACAGAGTTATAACTAGTGTACCCACTTTTTTATGCGCGTGCTCGGCAAGTCACTAGATGGACGAATCCTATTGGATGAAATTGGATGACGACTCACTTTAACTGCTCGCGGAACTTGCTGAGCACGCGCAGTTGATCATTTTTTGCCTGGTCGCCTGTGAAAAAAAGTGGGTAGATGAAAACATAAGCTTCCGCAGTGTTTACAACGGTCAGTTACGTCTCTGTATGTCTCTACTCTGTGCCACAGACAATGAATGTTTCCCCGTGTAGATACACACACTTGCATCATTATTTTATTGCTTTTATAGATTTGTGTGAGCATGCCAATTGTCACGATAATGCCACATGCATCAGGAATGATGATAAAAAATTTGCAAAATGTGACTGTAAGCCTGGTTTTGGAGGTGGTGGCCAACACTGTTTTGGTAAGCAACTCAACCACTCTTTATCCACTCAGCTCCATATATATCTGGAGCGAGAACTCGAGTCCACACAATGAATAGCCTGCGTGGCAGGCCCTCAATTTTATGGGGGGCCTGATTTGCAGCGGGCAGGATTTTGGCGGGCACGGGGGAGGATTATCCTGCCCGCTGCAAATCAGGCCCCCCATAAAATTGAGGGCCTGCCACGCAGGCTAAAAAATGAAGGAGTCCAAAAGTTTGCGGAAATTGAAGAGCTGTTGGACGCCTTGAACTGAGTATAACTGGAACGCTACCTTGAACCGGAAATTTGAAGCCAAACTTGAAGGCCAGTCCCAGCCTTTTCACGCATATGAAGAGCGCTCAAGCAGTCAATCATGATATAAACACGCGGGTCTTGATCCCCAGACACGCGTGTGTGGGGGGTGAAGATTTGGCTTCAAGACAAAGATTTACCTGAAGATAGCGTTGGACGTTAGTTCCAGTCCCTTTCTATTGTTTTGTCTGCGCGGTTAAACACGAAGAAGTGTGCCGAAATTTCGCATTTTTACATCCATTTAATTAAAGAACAACACTGTGGCGTCATGAACTGATAACTTGTTTAGCGATACGGTTCAGAGCTATAGGACGTCGCCATCAACTATTTCGCTGACCTCAGAATGACATTTCGTCAAAACATTTTTCTTCAAGATTGGTTTAGAAACAAATTTGGCATAGGGTTAGGTTAGGGTAAGGATTAGGGTTAGAGTTAGAGTTGGTGTTTGGAGTAGGATTAAGCCAGGTTCACACGATGAAATAAGCACAAGCAGCGGAACCTTTGATGTGCATAAACATAAACATAAGAAGAACAAATGTTGCGTTCTTCTTATGCTTACGTTTATGCACATCAAAGGTTCCGCTGCTTGTGCTAATGCTTATTTCATCGTGTGAACCAGGCTTTAGTGTTAGTAAAACCGTTGCTTTGTTACGTTTTGTCACTCTGAGGCCAGCGAAATAATCTCTTCCTTGGACGTCAATGGCCGCCATCTTGGCTTCATTTTTCTCGTAGGCCGAATGACTGAAGTAAAAGTTCTTGCTCCAGATATATATATATATATATATATATATATATAGGGCTCAGTGATCCTATCTATTGTCCATGGTTTGTTCCGTTGTTTCCATCTGACTTAAAACTCCCTAGTAGTATTTCTACATTTAGAAGAAACTTTTTTAGCAATCATTGATCTTTCCCTCGTATAATATTTAAATATTTCTCATGGTTATGTAGTATATGCATGTCTTCCTTGTAAATTTGTTTATTTAGTTTAGGAATTTTCTGAAAATCACTTTGTGAGAAAGCTTCCTGAAAATAAATATTAATTAAAAAAACAAACAAACAAAAAACAGTCGCAGATTACAACATTCTCGGTGCTCCCCAGTTTCATCTGCCAGTCACGTGTAATTATCCATATCGCGTTACTCGAGAGTGACGTCTGAAAGATGAGAGTTAGGGTGATGTTTGAAGTTAAGATTTTGCAAGGGTTAGGGTTGGGATAAAAATTAGTGTTAGAATGATGGTTTTGGAGTGAATTTGGCAAACTGTGACATCAATAAACTGTCCATATTTAGATTTATGCAAGGAAGCTGATTGCGACAAGAATGCCAGGTGTGATCTATATGATGATATAAAAGTTGCAAACTGTTCTTGTGACCGAGGGTTTGGTGGCAATGGGACACATTGTTTTGGTAAGCACCTGAATTCATCAAAAACGCAAAAGTTTCTGTAATCACAGTAAGAATTTTGCATAGGTAAATTCTAAGTTTTGAAGGATTTGCAAGAAATGTTTGAGGGAATTAACATTAAGTCCGTTTCCTCAAACATTTCTTACAAATGCTTCAAAACTTAGAATTTACCCATGCAAAATTCCTACTGTGATCACAGAAACTTCGATAGTGTAAACCAGGCTCTTAAAAGTATCTATCACATCATCTTACTCATTACCATCTGCCTAATGGTGTTGTGTTATTATTGTAGATTTATGCGAGGAAGCTGCTTGCGACAAAAATGCCACGTGTGATCTATATGATGATATAAAAGTTGCAAAATGTTCTTGTGACCGAGGGTTTGTTGGCAATGGGACACATTGTTTTGGTAAGCACCTGAATTCATCAAAAACTCAATGCTTGCATAAACGTATTGATTACCGCAGTTGCGAAACCAAGGCAAAATTGTTGAATTCTGATTTGTTGAGGTTTTTCCTGTTTAGATTTGTGTGAAGATGCAAGTTGTCACAAAGATGCCTCTTGTAACTTGTATGATGACATTAAGTTTGCCAACTGTTCCTGTAAACATGGATTTTCAGGCAACGGGACGTACTGTCTTGGTGGGTTGACGATATTGAAATAACTGTAAATTTTATGATTATCTCCGTTGATAATGTTTTCAACTTGGTTTCATTGTTTTTTTATTCATCTTTAATATTTAACGGTCTTATTAGATTTGTGCAAAGAAGCAAATTGTCATGAAAATGGACATTGTGTGTTACGAGATGAAATAAAGTTTGCCAATTGTTCCTGTGATGAAGGATATCGAGGAAACGGAACTTTCTGCACAGGTGTGGTTGAATTATCAAATACTTATCATACTTGAACTGTTCGAAACTCTCCTTATATTTTTCAGGTAGTTGCATGCCTATCAACGAAAGCTTGTTAATACTTGAGCCATGCCTGATACTGTTTGATAGTTGTCTAATGCTTTATATACTAAACATTTCTTTTGCAGCATATTATGATTGGAGTCCGTGGACGACGTGTCAGAAGAAATGTGGTGTGGAATTTTATAATAGAACCAGAGAGTGTGTCGATCCTGGAGCATCATTTTGTATTGCTGATGAAACTATACAAAAACGATCTTGTGAGCTTCAGCCTTGTGCAGGTGAACTATAGCGAGCTAAACTAATTTAAATTTATTACATTAAATTACTTTAAATTACATTAAACTGAGTTCATGGTGATGATGACGATGATGGTGATGGCGACGGCGATGGTAGTTGTGGTGGTTAAGGTAATTGTGGTGGTGATGGTGATAATAATGATGATGGTGATGATAGTGTTAAATGGTGGTGATGATGATGATGGTGATGATGATGATAGTGTTAAATGATGTCGGTGATGATGCTGGTGGTGGTGATGATGATCGTGATGGTGATGACGATGATAGTGTTAAATGATGTCTGTGATGATGATGGTGGTGGTGATGGTAGTGGTAAATGGTGGTGATGATTGTGGTGGTGTGGTAATCGTAAATGTGGTGACTGAATGTAAACCTTGCTTTCATCTTATATAGTTCATGGTAACTGGACAAATTGGGGTGATTGGGGTACATGTAGCGCCACATGTGGACCAGGTTATAATGAACGTACCAGAGATTGTGCTAATCCGCCACCTCAAAATGGTGGTGATGACTGTCCAGGAGTGGGCAATGACATTGGGGATTGTGAAGCGGCAACACTATGTCCAGGTATAGCACTGTTTTCGACAGAAATTTGGTTCGCTCTTAAGCTTGCTTTTCATATGGTCGTAACGGTTGTAAAGATTGAGTCACGATCTTTATCAGCAGCCGAAATACAATATTTGAGAACTGAAAATAGGCTAAGTGATTATAAATTGGGAATACTTACGATTTATATGTGGTTTATAGGGAGGAAACTATTATAATCTTGCCGTTTAGAACGATTGTGACTCTATCTTTACGACTGTTACGACCATATGGTTAAAGATTTTTCAATTGGTTCACACGCCCCATTGGTCTGATATTGTGGGGTTTTCGGGGGGGGGGGGGGGGATCTTTCAGGAATGTTTGGAGTGATGATGTGTAGGATTGGAAGGGGATTTGGCCGTTGAGAAAGATCGTGACTCTTCTAATTCAAAATAATTCATTCATTGTTTATTTTTATAGGAGAAGAACATTTTGGTGATTGGTCGTCCTGGAGTGAATGCAACATGACTTGTGATCAAGGTGTTCAAATTCGTTCACGAGTTTGTGAAAATGAAGCTGCAGGGTGTCTTGGTGAACCAACACAAACAAAACCTTGTCTTCTCAAATATTGCCCAGGTTAGAAAACAATATATTCACTAGGCACACAATTCTTGTACTTGGGTAAAAACACACCAGTTGTAACAAACCTGCAGCAGACTTGTAGCAATGTTGTTCCAACAACTTGTCAACAGGATGTGTTTGCATTGATTGTTCCCAGCTTGTTGACAACTTGCTACAAGGTTGTTGAATTCCAACAACTTGTTATTGTCAAAAAGTTGTGAGTGACAACCTTGTAGCAACTTGATAAAATAACAGCGTTGTTACAACTTGGTGACAAGCTTGCTACAAGCCTGTTGCACAGTTAATATATTAACTGTGCCTGTTGCAAACACATGTTGTTGACAAGTTGTGAGATTTTGATGTGTATCTTGTGTCACTCATGTTGTGTGTACAACTTACAGTAAATGGTAGTTACACAGCATGGAGTAATTGGACAACTTGTTCTACGTCGTGTGGTCCTGGGCAACAATTACGTCATAGAAATTGTACAGAGCCTAAACCTGCTTATGGTGGCGCTGATTGTGAAGGGCCTGGGACAGAGACTAAAGAATGCTTTATAGAAGTAATATGTCCAGGTAAGTTGTTGACTCGTGTAACAGTAACAACGACAACAACAGCAACAACAAAACGACAACAACAACAACACAACAACAACAACAACAACAAAACGACAACAACAACAAAACGACGACGACAACAACATCAACGACGACGGCAACAACAACAACGACGACGACGGCGGCAACAACAACGACGACGGCAACAACAGTGACAACAACGACGACAGTGACGACGACGGCGACAGTAACGACAACAACAACAACAACAACAAAACGACAACAACAACAAAACGACGACGACAACAACATCAACGACGACGGCAACAACAACAACGACGACGACGGCGGCAACAACAACGACGACAGCAACGACAGTGACAACAACGACGACAGTGACGACGACGGCGACAGTAACGACAACAACAACAACGACGACGTCGAAAGCAACGACAGTGACAACAACGACGGCTGGAGCAACGACAACAGCGACAGCAACGACAACAGCGACAGCAACGACAGTGACAAGAACGACGAAAGCAACAACGACAACAACAACGACGACAGCAACGAAAGTGACAAGAACGACGACAGCAACAACGACAACAACGACGACGACGACGACGACAACAACAACGACAGTGACAACAACGACAGCAACTTTGCAGTTTAACTAATGTGAACGAGGCTTTGTCAAATATAATCACTCTTCCTCTTCTGTTTCAGTTGACTTTGGTTTTTCATTGTGGTCGTCTTGGAGTCCCTGTACTACAACATGTGGAGATGGTCTGCATAATCGAGCAAGGGAATGTGAAATTTCAGGGCCTGACTTTTGTGGTGGTGAAAAAAACCAAACTGATGTTTGTAATGTTCGTCCATGCCCAAGTAAGTGAAATATATTGAACATTGTAATGAAGTTTTATATAGAGTGTGATTACCTATTATGACACTGGTGTTTTATAAGGATTGGGATAATCAATTATCGTGTAGTTCTCTCCTACAAGAGTAATTCTAACCGTAAGTGCATAAGGAGCTACGAGTGTCGAAATGTTGGGTCGTAATGTAATTTGTTCGGGGAGTTGATGAGAGTTCCAACTCGCGCTCACCACCAACTCCCATGCACTCTCTCATCAACTTTGAGCTGGTTCCAATTTTGATGAGAGTTTATGCTCGTTTTGACCAGGAATATCCAGCCAGCTCTTATCAACTCTCGTTTGACCGGGCCGTGAAATGGTGAACTGATATTAGTGAATGTAATCAAGTCATCGTCTTGTGCATAGTTTCAGGAGGTCTTACACCTCCATTATAGTCAAAAATTTAGAATCAAATTATCATAT